ATGGCATACAGCTTGTGTCGAATTTATATTTATATCAGTTCTTTTTAAAGCTGCTTGCCATGCTTTTTTCACATTTTCGTCTTTTGGCACATAAAAAAAACGTACTTTTTCAGGATTTGAAGTATAACCTGACGTACAGCCAAGTGAAAGACAGCGCGGCATTGTTTAATTAAAATAAACAAATGCGGTTAGTTGCATCAGCAACTCTCAAAATTCTTCTTTCGCGACGAAACATGTTCGGTAACAGCGGTAACAGTGAGCGAATTAACCTAACTTTTACCATAGACCCGTGGTGACTGTTGCCAGCGCCACACAGCGAGCTTGGCGTCACTAAGTAGACACAATAAAAAAGGACATAATAAGAAGTGTCAGAGGGCTGTTATATTACATATATTGCATACATTACATACATTACATACATACATATGTCATGTTATACTACTACATACATTACATATATATATATATATATATATATGTACATACATTATATTACATACGTTATATTCGGTAATGTCCCCACGGCAACGTATCGGTCGAATCCGGCACGATATATCGCTTATCGTCGTACGGACTCAGAGCGATTTTCGTCTCGCTGATAGTGTACATGTGTTTTTTCGATCTTATGCACGACTGCGGTCGAGTCATTTCGATCTCATCGTTCAAACACCGCGTGTAGTCGTCGAATGTGATGGTGCGCGCGATGACGTTGCTTTTGACATTTTTCGCTTTTTTAGTGTCTTTCTTACCATCGACTCGCAAGGCGTACATTTTCGCTCTAAGTCCAACGAATTCGGTTATAATGGCACCGTTGTTTTCGTCCTTCATCAGGCCCGGCACTTTTTTATTGACGAGTGGCATATCATAAGCGTTATCTACCGCGTAGTCACTGGGCGATCCTTCGACCGCCACAAGCCAGTTATCCCTGTGGTAACTTTTCTGACACCTTTTGCTGAAAACTCTTCAAGCCAAAAAAGATCGATAGGCCGTGCTTTCGCAGTTTCTATGCGTACTGAACATAGAGATCAAGCCAGCTTTTGACTTTTTGCTCTATGCGAGGTTTCTATCCTCGCTGAGCTGGCCTTAGGACGTGTCGAACCGGGCTATATCATGTTTCATGTTTTTATACGCGTCGTCGCACTTGATATGATAAATCAAACTGTCCGTGTCGGTATACATGATTCTACACGAGTCGCGGTACAGGGGAGACATGTACTCGTGGTGAAATTCGTATAGGCACATTTTCGACAAGTCGAGGATGCACATGCCGACGTAGATTGCTTTGTGGAATTTTACCTCAAATTTGCGCAGTTTAACGGCTACCAGATTTTCCAAAAACACGCTCCTGCTGTGGAAATTCGGTCGCGCGATCATTGCCTCCGCGTTGTATCGTCCGTCCCACTTTGTCACTAATTTTACATCGACGTGGTTTCGTATATTCTCCATCGTTTTCCCAAAAACCGCGTTATTCATTAATTTATATAAAGTTCTTTCGAACTCATTTTTGGCCTGTGTCCTAAATTTTGTATTGAGTTCGATGTAAAAGCGGAGCCACTCAGATTGAGCGAATTGTAATACGCGATGTATTTTTGTGACGCGAAGCCCGTGGCGCGTGCACTGCTGCAGATTGCGATAATGGATGACATAACGCTCCTTATCGTGCAGCATGGCGAGAAGTTTGTCCTGCCGTTTGCCGGGCGGTTTAGCGCGCATCGGACAGAACGGTAGGTCAGTGTGCGCGTTGTGTTTATCCTGCGGATACTCAAGATTGACCTCGAGAATATAGCCCGTAGGCGAATCCGAAGCGATCGCGGATCGCGCTAAAGTCGAAATTTAACGCGTCTTCGACCCATCGAAACTCCGCGTAGGGCAGTGGCTTTCACATCGCCCAGCCGTACAAGTTGTTGACATCGAAGTACATTAGGTACGACGACGGTTTTGATGGATCGTACGAGTGCATGTACTTGTTCTTGGCCTGCGCGTATCTGCCGGAACATTGACTCAGGCCGCCGCAAATACCACGTTCGATAAACATAACCATGTCAATGTCGGTCAGCAGTTCGAAATTGATACACGTATGTTTCAACATGGCGTCCCTGGTAAAGTGTAGTAGTACGCGGGATCGAGTCCGTAACTCGCTATACAACTGTCGCGGAATTTTTCAAAAACGTCAGCCAATAACAAGACATCGGTCTTTAGATACAGATCGCTGTATTCGCCCAAGGTACGAACGGAGAACCGTCGCCAGACGTTAGCGACGTGCTCGTAATTGCTCTCGGATACGGTGTCACCGGTCAAAGAACTGTAAAATGAATCGCGCGGCGATAAACACGTATCTTCCAGCTTTTTGACGCTGTCCACGTATTTGTATGGAAAGAAACCTTTTCGCGTCAATAATTCGAAATCGTCGTCGGATAACGCGGAAAATTTGGGACGTATAATTTTCAATTTATTGGTGTCGCGTTCCTGGAACTCCCCGAGTTTCGCTAATGTGGGCTCGATAACGTGTCGCTCGTACCACTCGCGCAAGTGCAATGTGCGACAGAATTCTATGTTATTTGTACATATACTCTTATTGGCACGTTTATCACCCGCCACAAATTCCCCGTTGAACGCGGTATTCACTTTGACACAGTTATGTATTTTTATAATGTCTCGCACTCGCTTGCACACTACGCTGCAGGCGTCTTCCAAAAACTGTCGCGATTCTATATGGTTTGTATTAATTATTATCGCACCGGTCATTATTCGCGTTTTGAACGCGGCATCGATTTCTCGCCATACGAGTTCTGCCGCGCGCGTGTCGCCACTGTTTCCGGTGTTCGCATAATCACCACCGCTATGGAAAAATTGTCTTTTCAATCGCGATTTCTCACCCTCGAGTCGCGCTATTCTGGCAACTAACGATTGCCTCTGCCCGATCGTTGGATTGTCGAAGAGCCGCTGACGTTTGGCACTACAGCGTGCCTCGAGTTGCTCGACGCATTCTGCGCATTGCAGCGTCCATGTAAAATATTCACCCAAAGTAGCTACTTGGTCGGACAGCTCCAATAGATCGAGTTCGGTTTGCTCGAATTGATCCATGTTTGATTACTTTTGCACTATTCTTTATTATATCGCTTCACAGCACTTGCACGTGATAACGTGTTTAACCACACAATAAATCTCGATACTTTTTAACCGATGTATCGCTCTCAAATCTTACTACTGCGGCTCGATGCGCTTCATTCCTCGTTATATACCCTTTGCCCTCTCTTTCGCTCCAATTGATTTTTTGAAAGATCTTTTCTTTTGTCTCGCGTACTGCGTAGATAGATTGTTTAGTCTACGCGATAACGCCCCCTTTTCCTAGAAAACATTTGTTTACGACGAACGTGTCCCGACAGGTTCGATGCGTTATCGGGTCGATCATCGTCCCGATGATGTCATTTCTTCCTTTGTTTTTTACGTACGGCGTAGATAGAGCAGTTCTCCGATATCACGTCCACTGTGACGGATCCCGAGGAGGCGTTGAATGTAATATACGCTAGCGATGCGTTCAATACGAATCAGCTCATCGATTGTGAGCTCGCAGCTTTAGTTATTTAACACGTAAGACATATTATGTAAAAGAAGATTTAAATAAACAGCCTTTTTTTTACAACTAAGTGAACGATGTTATTTCTTTGCGTGCATGTCCATTCCTACCTATATTTTATCAAATATTGTTTACAACGAACATGTTCCAACAGGTTCAATGCGTTATCGAGTCGATCATCGTCCCGATGACGTCATTTTTTCCTTTGTTTTTTACGTATTGCGTAGATAGATTGTTTAGTCTACGCGATAACACCCCCTTTTTTTAGAAAAATGTTGTTTACGACGAACATGTTCCGACAGGTTCAATTGTTTAGTCTACGAGATAACACCCCTCTTTTCCTAAAAAAATGTTGTTTACGACGAACATGTCCCGACAGGTTTGATGCGTCATCGACAAAACACACTCCTACGCAGTGCGCTATCGAGTTAGTCTTACCATTGTGCGCCGCCTAGCGGCGTCGTTGCAAACGAGGCCCCCGCGGACCCCGCGGAGTGACCGCAACCGCGACGCGACCGCGAACGCGGACCCGCGGCGAGGGTGAGTCATCCCGGTGAGTCATACCGGTGGTATGCCAAGGTCAACCCCTCCCCACTCCCCGATATAAAATCCGATACCCCTGTGTAACACGATACCCTTGTGTAACCCGATACCCCGCCCCTCTCCCTTTCCCTCACTCCGCGTTATCTCCTTGTAATCTAATACCCCTGTGTAACCCGATACCCCGCCCTTCCCCTTCCCCCTCACCTTCTCCCGCAAAATCCGATACCCCCTCCCTTACCCCCTCACCCCGTGTAATCCAATACCCTCCTCCTTCACCCCCTCACTCCCCCGCGTAATCCGATACCCCTTCCTCTCTCACCCCCCCTCGGAACTCCCTGGTTAGAACTTTCCTAGATTAACTACTCCTAAAACAAGCCTGTTTACAAAGTTTCAGCCCACTCATCTGTCAGTATTATTTCCTCCAAATTTTGTCATTTTACTGGGCTATATGCTATGTTGCTGTACACCAGTAATATAAGAAGGGCACGCCAAGTATATTTGTGTGTAAATCTAATAATGAATAGTTAAAAGAAGAAAAAACAGAACATGTACGCAACAAGTATAATAAAAAAACATGATTAAGAAAATCAAATGTTACTTTACTTAGCGTCTTCTGATATCATTGTTTTCTGCAGTAAAAAATATACATGGAATTATAAGACCAAATTAGATCAAAATTGTTTAAAATAAAGATTTTGTATGGAGCACGTACACTTTGCTTATTCTTTACCTTATTTTAAAAAAGGTAAGTTTTATACGAATTTCTCATTTCTTCGCCAACCTTAATTGATATCATAGTGATACTATGAACATCAAGACAGGTATGATATAATACGTAAAAAAGAAATAAATATGTAAAATACACATAGCACTTTTCTAGATTATCCGAAGAAAACAATCGAAATCATGAATGGCACAGAAGCATGTAGCTCCTGGAACGGTATTAACTCTGGCGAGGAGATTGTTATTTCTGGTATTGCTGGTAGATTTCCGGATTCAGATAATATGAATCAATTACGAGAAAATCTATTTAATAAAAAAGATCTTGTTAGAGCTGATCATGGTCGATGGAAGAAAGGTGATTAATTATATAACTAGGATAGTTCTGCATTTATGCCTGATTGGCGGATATAGGATATGCCATATCCCTTCTGCAATAATTAATTATTATTAGTGGTTATATGTTAAGGATATGTATTTTAAACTAAAATTTTATTAAAAAGTGAACAAGAAGCGTAACGCCTTTGCGTGAAATTATACATTTTATTAGATCACCCAGACATATCAAACCGTATGGGAATAGTTAATAATTTGAACAAGTTTGATGCGGATTTCTTCGGATTATCTTTCGACCAAGCGCACACACTCGGACTTGAGACGAGAATGTTACTGGAACATTCTTATGAGGCAATTATCGACGCGGGGATCAATCCGAAGCAATTGCGAGGAAAGGATACTGCCGTGATCATAGCGACAACCTTTTCTGAAACGCAAGCTAAATTTTTGTATGAGGATCTTGAGGTAGAGAAAATTATTAATTAATAAGTGTAATAGAAGAGATTATTGAATTTATCATTTGTGTGCGACAATTTGTAATCGTTAACTTTCTGCAATTAGATGGATGGTCTGAATCTTATTGGATGTAGCAGATCTACAATAGCAAACATGATTTCGTACCATTTGGATCTGAAGGGACCATCGTATGCAATCGATTCAGCTTGCAGCTCCTGTTTCTATGCCATGGCCCTTGGTTATCATTATATCATATCAGGCAAATGCGAAGATGCCATAATTGGGGCTACACAATTATGTCTCAATTCAACTATAAACCTGCAGTTCGCTCGTCTTGGTACTTTTATTGAAACGAATTAATCTTGTAATATATTAAGCACAAAAAGTAATATGCCTCCTAATATTTTTCTTTCGAATCTGACGCCATAGAGAATTTTGCGTTTCAATGAGTTGTTATTTGAAGTCTTTAGTTGCGAGTTATGTTGAGTGGTATTGTGATCATTTACGTGAGTGTGTCACACGAGCAGTTTGAACTAGCGTGTGTTTTAGATGCGCGTAACAGACAAGGGCTGTGGTTGAATTTCTTATCGTGGAAGAAGTGAGTTCCAATGGCTGCGTTCAGCGGAGAAAGCAGCTCAATGCGCGCTCAATAATTCTTTATTATGATTAGTTTCTACACTTGGATACAGGGAAGAACTAAAGGCAAGGTCCAACCATTTAAAAAAATTACTGATTGCTTGCTAAATTGCTTTTTCTGCTGCACGCAGCCATTGAAATTTATTCGCGTCTCATAAATGTTTATGATAACACCGTTTCTGAAATAAGAATGGATTTCAATAGGACTCACTTCTTCCACGATAAGAAATTCAATCACCGACCTTGTCTTTTACGCGTATTTAAAATACACACCAGTTTGAACTATTCGTGTGACACACTAACATAAACTAATCACAACACTACTCAACATAATATAACTAGAGACTTCAAGTAACAGTAAAATGCAAAATTTTTAATGGCGCCAGATTCAAAAAAAAAATTAAAAATGTTACGCAGCTCTCGTTGAGCCGGGTACACGGCACGTATTTTCTCGTCTTTGGATATAGCTTCGCTAAAGAATGACTTTGCTTCGTGTTTTACAAATTTTTTATTGCTCGTACAAATAAACTTTGGCTCTACGATATGATCTTTACAAACTTAGATAATGTACTCTCGACAGACAGTCCACTGAGACAGACTGACGACGACTGAGACAATGTACTGACGACACCGCATGGCAACGTGGTACTACTGGGGCTAGTGGGTACGAAGCGAGCGCCTCTGGAGAACATGTGGCGACATCCGTTATTACTAGGGGGGCTAGTTCCCTTTGCGCTATATCCTTTGCGCGGCAGCGCCATCATAATAGAATTCAAATCTTAAATCAACAGCCCAAACATACCGCGCGCCTTGATAGGGTAGGCTTATCAATTTGAAACATAAAATGTGAGTATACAAAGAACTAAACTTCAATAGGTAATATGCATATCCTAGAAGCAGGTCTTAAAGGTTCCTTTAGCGGTTTTTAAAGTGGCCGCTCTGATTATTCCATCAGTTCCCGGATGAACTTCAACAATCCGACCAGTAAGCCAAGACAAAGGGGGTAAATCGTTTTCTCGTACAACCACCATTTGACCGACTTGAAGTTGAGGCCCTATAGTTTGCTTCCATTTGGATCGCTGTTGTAATGTATTGAGATAATCAGCTGACCATTGCCTCCAAAATTGCTGACGCATTTGTTCGATACGCTGCCAGCGAGATAAGCGATTTACTGGCAAATCCTGTAATGTAGGCTCTGGATACGAAATAAGTGAGTCTTCAATTAAAAAGTGCCCAGGGGTTAGGTAGGAATGATCCAAGGGATCAGAAGATAAAGGAGTTAAGGGTCTCGAGTATAATATCGCTTCAATTTGCGATAATAATGTGACTGCCTCCTCAAATGTCAACGATCCATCGGCGGAGACTCTAATTAAATGGTGTTTAGTGGAGCGAGCTGCAGATTCCCACAATCCACCGAAATGAGGTGCGCGAGGAGGAATAAAATGCCAAGTAATAGCATCTTCTGCCATCTTGTTGGTGATGTTATGCCGAAACTCTTCTCGATTAAATAAAGTCCGCAATTCTTCTAATTCGCGATTGGCTCCCACGAAATTAGTTCCATTATCCGAATATATGTTAGCTGGTCTTCCTCGTCGACCAATGAAACGCTTTAATGCACTTAAAAATCCTTCTGTGGTTAAATCCGATACAACCTTGATATGAACCGCTTTCGTGACGAAACAAACAAATACTGCAATCCAAGCCTTAGATTTTCTTGCGTTTTTTCGCTTTCCCTCTCGAAGAAATATGGGACCGCAATAATCGACACCTGTATTATGAAATGGCCGAGCGGGAGTCACACGAGTGGCCGGAAGGTCGCCCATAATTTGTTTAGATATACGGGGCCTAGCTTTGACACAGATGATACACTTATGCACAACTTCGCGAACAATCCCTCTAGCACTCAGAGGCCAATAACGTTCTCTTATAGCTGCCAAAGTGGCCTGAGGTCCTGCATGTAATAATCTTTTATGCTCTTGCTCAATAATGAGACGAGTGAGCCGATGACGTGCTGGTAATATCAGCTGATGCTTGATTTCATAGGAGATATTAGCATTTTTCAGACGTCCACCAACTCTTAATAATCCTTCGTGATCTAAAAAGGGGTTCAAAGCAAGCAAACGACTATCTCTCTTAATTGATCTTTGATTTTCGATAGCTTCAATTTCCATGTGAAATATTAATCGCTGTATTCCTCTAATGATAAGCCTTTGAGATACTTCCAATTCTTGAGCGGAAATGGAACCTACGATCATTCGGTTTGGATCTTGCGTTATGCACGAAACGAAGACACCTCGCAATTGTTCTAATCAATCGAACATATGACGAAAATCTATCGATGATGTCGAATTCTTCATGTGAAGTAGAAGTGACTACGATTGTCTTTCGCTGCTCAGGTAGCTCTTCCGCATTGACTGAAGATCGTACGACTTTAGGCCATGAGGATTCGTCGTCGCGCAACCACGATGGACCATTCCACCATAGATCTGCGTCCTTGAGGACAGAAGGAGTGGCTTCACGCGATAGAATATCTGCAGGGTTACATTCGGTACCTACGTGAGACCAGCTTTGAACCGATGTGAGCTCTTGTATGTCACCCACTCTATTGGCAACGAAAGTGTTGAATCTTCGACTTGAGGAGTTGATCCAATCCAAAACTATTTGAGAATCTGTCCAAAGGTATACTGCGTCAATCTTCAATTCCAAAATAGGAACGACTTTGTCGGTTAGTTGCGCCAACAGTTGCGCAGCGCTTAGCTCTAATCGAGGCAAAGACACGGCTTTCAGGGGTGCTACTCGTGACTTCGCGCATAATAGCTTCGTAGTATGCACTCTTCTTTGATTTGTAGTGCGTAAGTATATGCATGCTCCATATGCATTTTGACTCGCGTCGCAAAACCCGTGCAGCTCAATGCGTGTGCTTGATTTAACTTCGACTGCTCTGCGGGAAATGCGAATATCATTCAACTGGCTAAGTTGCGATTTGTAGTTACTCCATTGCGTGTGCAACTCTGCGGGCAAAGATTCATCCCAGCCGAGTTGCAATGTCCATAATCGTTGAATCAACATTTTTGCAAGTATTATGACCGGTCCAAGAAGACCTTCTTTGTCCAATGTTCGTGTTGAATTCATCATGGAAGAGTCAGGAAGATTAACAAGCAGATCAGGACTGTTGGAAGCCCATTTGCGTAATACGAAACCACCTTTTTCAAGAAGCTTTGTAGTCTCATCACGAACTTGCAGTGCTGCTTCCTTCGTGTTTGCCCCAGTAATGAGATCGTCGACGTCAAAGTCCCGCAACACGATTTTCGATCCAATCGGGAAGTTCTTTGCTTCAATCTCTGCCAGTGTTCTGATTGACTTAATGGCAAGAAAGGCTGCTGCGCCAGTGCCATACGTGACTGTTAATAATTCTAGCACTCTTATCGGACCATCCGGAGTGTCGCGCCACAGGATACGTTGCAAAGATACCTGTGATTCGTCGACCAACACCTGGCGGTACATCTTTGTTATATCTGCAACTAAAACAAATTCAAACGTACGAAATCTTGAAATAATAGAAAAGAGATCCTGCTGCAGTGAGGGCCCGACCATCAGGCAGTCATTAAGTGAAACGCCCGTTGTCGTTTTGCACGAGGCGTTGAATACAACCCTTAGTTTGGTCGTATCACTCTCTTCTTTGATCACGCAATGGTGAGGCAAATAGCAGTGCGGGAAGGTTTCTATATCTTGACCTTGCACCTCTCTCAAATGCCCCAACGCTTCGTATTCATGGATGAAGTCCGTGTAATCCTTTTTGAGCGATGGATTACGATTTAGACGGCGTTCGAGATTTATAAATTGTCGTGTAGCAATGTCCTTTGATTGACCGAGCCGCGCTAATTCTTCGTGCTTGATCGGGAGCTTGACTATAAATCTGCCCGTTGAATTTCTCTTGACCGTTGACTTAAAATGCTCTACGCACTTACGATCCTCTGCTGACATCTTAATCTTCCGCGCGCCATGCTCGATTTCCCAAAATTTCGCTATAGCATTATCGAGTGCTTCGTTGGTGATAAGATTGCAGATCGTTGCTTCGGACTGCGTCTTTCTTGTGCTGATTTCACCTCCTGCGATCCAGCCGAATTGTGTTTTCTGCCAACGTGGCTGATCTGGTGTGGTCCTTATCTGACCTACACAGAGGAGATCCCAAAAAAGTCCTGCTCCTATGAGTATGTCTATCTTTGATGTCTCCATAAAATTGGGATCCGCTAACTTGATTCCTGGTGGAACGCGAATGTCCAATCTTCTCATTGGTGTATTTGGAATGTCCTGTACAATTTTACGCAGCACAAGGCATCTGAGTTCTACCTTGAAGCCGTTGAAACGAGATTGCACCATTATGTTAACGTAGCTATGCGTTTCAGTGCTCGATTCTCCCACTCCGCTTATTGGCACAGAGGTAGGATGTCGCTTAAGCCCGAGCTTTTCGACTAGTTCTGATGTCACGAAGTTCGCTTGCGAGCCAGCATCGAGAATAGCTCGACACGGTAGAATACTTCTTTTATTATCCTGAACGTGAATGATTGCTGTGGACAGTAAGACATGCTGCCCTGACAACCGTGTGACGTGATTTACGCTCGTTAATGATGCTGATTGCACAGAGGCAACCACATCCGTGGACTTCGTTTCAGTTTCCTTCGCTTGCGGGGTTGATTCCAT